CTGCCCAGCCGGCAGATCATCAGAGTCTAGACTATTTTGCTATCATCTCTCAACATACTAGGCAGGGGGCAAACCACCAACTTCCTCCCGGTACTCACTCAACAGCCACCAGTGGTCACCTATACTCCAACCGTATTTAGCCACCAGCGATGACAACTAGCCTGGTCCCACCTAGCTGGTGCTCGCGGCAGAAAAGAGAAGAAGAATATATATATATATATATATATACGTGCTCGACTTACCTTAGGATGCACAACAACTCATCTCTTCGACAAGCAGTACAAATTCTCCAAGATCTCTCTCAAGCTAGAAAGTAAAGAAGTCAAGTTTGCGATGTGAAGAAGAGTGAAGAGAAGTCCTGCATTTATACAGGTTGGGTATCCTAGGTCAAGAAAGAATCGCAAGCCCATTCATACTGGGAACCCAACTCCAAGAACAGTCAAAAGCAGACTCCAATTAGGAGCCCAAATCTAAAATGGAAGCCCAATTACAGCTGGACAACCCAACAGTAATTCACACCTCCTCCATACCATCACGCGCCATGCAGAAGCTGTGGGACATTTGTGGAAACCTAATTTTAAGCAAACCCTAAATCAAATATTTCCTTCCATTTGGGGAATATTTGATTTCAGAATTCTTACCTTGATTAGGGATTTGATTCACATTAAATCCCTAATTGATTTAAATCTCCTAAAATCAGAAAAATAATTCATTTCCCAACAAGGATTATTTTTCTCCAAACTTTAACCCTCCGAGACCATTATAAAAGGATGGCAATGCACAAGGGTTGAGGTATGTCTAAAATCTTTACTAAAACTCTATAGAAAATTCCTCTCAAACCCTAGCCACCTTCTCTCTCTCTCTTTTTTACATAAGGCTCCGGCCGCCCAGTTTACACCCTAAACACATCTCCGTACCCTAATTAGCTAGTGTTTCTCTTACAAACTCTTGAACTAATTTAGGCATCGGAGGGCCTTTGGTCAACACCCCCGGGTGTGGCCCTCTTATTTATTCTATTGTGCGGGGAGAAAGAGGAAGCGAAGAAGGAAGGGGAATCTTTGCAACCGAATATTCTCGTGAGGAAATCAGCTCATACATTATCCTTTAAAAGAAAAAGGCAAATGCATTTCTTTTTGACAAAGAACACAAAGCAAAGCAAACCATAATCTTTGAAATGGGAACCACTTAAAATAGAGAAAATGTGTGAACTTCTTGCACAGATACTTTCCAGAAAAAGAAAATAAAAAGGAAAAAAAATAATCCGAAATTCTTACCTTTTCGACAATGACGCGATCACCAACACGAAGAGTCGGGTACATAGAAGAGGAAGGAATGAAGCGAATCTCAGAAAACATAGTCCATAAAAGCACCACCACCAAGAGTCTCAAGAGCCCATCAAGCCCCGGCCATCGCAGAAACTCCCAGCTCTGGCATGGCATCCACCTCAGCGAAGGGAACGCAATGAAGCACTGGTGCAGAGCGGACGGCCTCAAGAAGCTCATTTACGAGATTGATTCCAAGAAGAAGCAAAACAAACCAAAATTCAAAGGAGGGCAAAAGGAAAGAGAAGAAATGTGGGGGCCACGGGGGTTTTTGAGGTTCAAGCTTCAAACGGTTTTAGCAGAAAGGGAAGATATATTGATTGTGAATGTAATCGCCACGGCCATGGCTGAGTCTCCGCTTCAACTTAAAAGACAGAGAGAAACAGAGAAACAGAGAAAGGAGGAGAAAATGTGTGGAAATGGGAATATATATATAGCTTTGACCGAATGTGCTTGCTGCCTAAGTTTCTCTCTATGCTGTGGTACAGCTATTTTAGTGAATGTCAGTTACTATTATTGAATTTTCTTCCATGTGAAACTTCCACCATGTCATGGGGACCAATCACCAATTGTCATCACTCGGCTCCACAACCTACTAACTCAAAACTCAAATCTTCCGTCTGGGTCTCTTGTGTAACTAGTGCAAGTACTTTGAATAATAAAAGTACCCAAAAAAATCACGAAGCGCCATGCGGATGCAGTGGTACCAATTACACACTCTCAATTCGGCAATGATATATACCGATGCTTTATATTTTCTTCAAATTATATCAATAATCTCAATCACGGTATATATACTATAGTTAGAAATAGAAGAAAGCAAGTAGTATGTAGAAGTAGCAATAATACTCGAGGCACTAACTCATGATACAAAATTGTATAACCACGGTGAACAATTATCCGGAAAAAAAAAATCATGGTGAAGAATTGTGTTGTACATTTTGCTATAAATGACTAGGTGTCAAACTATGAGGTTGTGGTTTTCTTTATTTATTTATTTCGGTCGAATTGTGGGGTTTCTTTTGTCGGTAACAAAATGGTTGTGGTCTGTGGATAAGGAAATCCAAACAAACAGACAACATTATAACTCTGGTACAAGGCGCCAATCAAATAGTGGGCCCACCCAAGAAAATAACTTCCATATCCAACGTATCCTAGATTGCCACGTGCTGTGATCTACTCCTCTCTCCACTATCACGTTATCTCCAACACCTCAGTAGGAAGTACTCGGACAACAATCCACTGAAACAAGGAGGAGACTCTCTCATTCACTCACTGAGTCAGCCACTGAACCAGAGAAACAATCAAAGCAAAAACCATGAAACGCATATCGGTTTTCTTTTTGCTCCTCCATTTTCTGGCGCTGCGATTCTTTGCAGCGGCGGACCACGACGCCTCCAGCATCGTCTTCACAACGCTCGGCAGATTAGATTACTACTTCGACATCTTCACCCTCCCGATTCAGGGGGGCCTACCTTCCGCAGCCACCGAGACCCGAATCACAGATGCAAAATCCGTCAATTTCAACGGCTACTTCCCCAACCTAACCCGAATCCCATCTCATACCCGACCCGACCCGTCACTCCACCTCATCTACGTCACCGAAAGAAACGGCTTTTTCAACATATACTACGACGGTGTTTATCTCACCTCGCCGACGACGATCGGCGGAAGAAGGTCCGCTCTTGAAGTCTCGGACCGGATTCAGGTCCCGCTATTGAGCTTGGAGCAGGGCCAGAATCGTTTTTCTATGAAGGACCGGCCGAGCTTGACCGGAGATTACTTGGTTTACGTCTCGACTCACGAGGACTCGGGCGTGCCGAGGACGAGTTCGGCCGCGGTGTACTCGACTCACATCAACTCGGGCGTGACTCAGAGATTGACCCCACACGGCATCGCTGACTTCAGCCCTGCGGTGTCTCCGTCTGGGGTTTGGACGGCGGTGGCTTCGTACGGACCGAAAGGCTGGGACGGGGAGGTGGAGGAGCTCAGTACGGACATCTACGTTTTTCTGACTAGGGACGGGACTCAGAGAGTCAAGGTGGTCGAACACGGTGGGTGGCCGAGTTGGGTCGATGAGTCAACCATTTACTTCCACAGAAGAGGCGAGGATCAGTGGTGGAGTATTTACAGGGCTATTTTGCGGAGAGAGGGACCGAGTTCGACTGAGTCAGTGGTGGTTCAGCGAGTCACGCCGCCGGGTCTCCACGCGTTCACACCCGCCACATCACCGGGGAACCGCGAGTTCATCGCCGTGGCCACCAGAAGACCCACCTCGAGCTTTCGCCACGTGGAGCTCTTCGACTTGGTGAGGAACGAGTTCAAGGAGCTGACCCGGCTCGTCTCGCCCCAAACCCACCACTTCAACCCGTTCATATCCCCCGATTCCAGTCGGGTCGGGTATCACAAGTGCAGAGTGAACGGAAACGGAGTAGAAAGCCCCAAGCTTTTTCTTCAGAACATCGACAGTCCAATCCCTAACCTCTCGATCTTGAGAATTGACGGTTCGTTCCCTTCGTTTTCACCCGCTGGTGATCGCATCGCTTACGTGAACTTCCCGGGTGTTTATGTTGTGAACCTGGACGGTTCGAACCGGCGCCATGTGTACCCTGGAGCTGCCTTCTCAACAGCGTGGGACCCAGTGCGTAAAGGCGTTTTATACACTGGGGCTGGACCTGATTTTGCACCCGAGAGTACTGAGGTTGATATCATCTCCATCACCGTTGATGACGTTGACCAAGCGAGCTTTAAGAAGTTGACCACTAATGGGAAAAATAATGCTTTTCCTTCAGCCTCTCCCGACGGAAAACGGATCGTGTTTCGCTCGGGTCTGTCGGGTCATAAGAACTTGTATATCATGGACGCCGAGGATGGAGAAAGGAGTGGGCTCCAACGACTAACGGAGGGTATGTGGACGGACACGATGTGCAATTGGTCTCCTGATGGGGAATGGATTGCATTTGCATCGGATCGGGACGACCCGGGTAGCGGGAGCTTTGAGTTGTATGTGATCCACCCGAATGGAACCGGGTTGAGGAAAGTGATCCAAAGTGGATCAGGCGGTCGCACCAACCACCCTTGGTTCAGCCCGGATGGGAAAAGCCTAGTTTTTACTTCGGACTATAGGGCTATATCAGCTGAGCCCATCTCAAACCCGCATCACTATCAGCCTTACGGTGAGATCTTCACAATTAACTTGGACGGCTCTGATCTTAAGAGGTTGACACAAAATTCTTATGAGGATGGGACCCCTGTGTGGATCCCTCATTTCATTAAGCCCACTGATGTTCAGTGGCCAATTGAGAGGCCTGGCTGTGAGTTTGAGGACTTGCAGTGGCTCAGTAAGATGGGACCAAGTTATGGTGTTGGGGCTGCATCTTGGGTCTTAAACAAGCCTCAATGTGGTCTGTAAGATGTATTGGTTTTCTGTACTAGACTAGATGTGCATATATATCCTGGATGTACCACGGTAGCTTTTCTATGTAAAAAGTAAAAACTTATATATAAAGATCTCACTCTGCAAAAATCATGATTCGTGACAATAAAAGTTGAAGGTATGTGTATATACACTAGTGCTAGGGACAGTTATTCATATGTACCGTAAAAGTAGAGGTGCGTATACAATATAGAGTTATGTTAGGAGGAGTCGCCCACTCGCACAATAACAATAAAGTGTAACTAGCAAGTATGGTGCATTTCAACTTTAGGGTCCAAAGGAGTGGTATGAATTGAACTGCTTGACCAGGTCTGGTAGCCTTCCATTATCTGAGGTTTCTCAGAAGCCATCTCCATTTTCAAACATGCCTTCAACTCATCATAGACATAGCTGATGTCTGGCCTCTGGATTGCTACTGATGGTATGCAAGCCATTGCCACTTCTACGGCTCTCCAGGCAGAATTTATGTTATAGCTTTCTAATCTTGGATCAAGTATATCTCCAATGCACTTTCCTTGAACATGGGGACCCACCCAATCACATAACTCTTCCACTGGAGGGCCTTTTATTATTGCAGGCAGGCCAGTTATCAGCTCCAAGAGAACAATCCCAAAGCTATAAACATCACTCTTCCTATTCAGCTTCCCAGTATGGTAATATCTGGACAGAAAATTGATTGCAGTTAGATGTATAAAACAATCCCCAAAACCATAAAATTGATAGCTATAAAAAAGACAATGGGTTTCTAGCTAATTTAGTTGGTAAATCTGTCAAGACTTACTCAGGATCAACGTATCCGCGAGTACCCTTAGCATCGGTTGATATATGAGTCTCGTTTTCAGTTGTGAAGACTCTGCAGAGCCCGAAATCGCCTATCCTGGCTTGCAAGTCTTCACTTAGTAAGATGTTGGAAGTCTTGAGATCTCTGTGGACTATTGGTGGCTTGCAACAATTATGCAGATAATCCAATCCTGCATTTGTAGTTTGCCATCAGTTGCTTGCTTTTGGGGCAAGTAAAGATAAAAGATTTACAAATCAGTTAAGATCAACCACCTCGTGCTGCATCCACTGCGATTTCAAGTCTTTCTTTCCAGGTTAAAACGTTTGTGCTTCCATCTGTTACAAAGATGTTACATATTTTCATTGACAAATCGAAGTTTAAAAAGTTTTATCAAGCAATAATGCAGAGGCAGTTCACTGGTTATGTTGATGGATAAGCCTCATGACCCTGATAGCAGAATTTGTAATCACCTGCTAATAGATGCTGTTGCAAATTTCCACAGGCCATATAATCGTAAACGAGTGCCATATTTCCACCTTCATCGCAGTATCCAAAAAGAGAAACCAAGTTCTTGTGATGAATTCCCAATAAGAGCTCCACCTGCAATTGAATTTAGTGACCAAGTATAACAAGATGAAATTCTGTTTAGAAGCACTTCATATGGTTTATATCTGCAGATTCTCTAGCATGCAACAATTTGGCCAGTTTGTATCCACCTCATTTTGAAATTCGTCGGACCCTTGTCTTGATGATGAAGAAAGCACCTTGATAGCAACTTCAATTCCATGTGTTAGGCTGCCGTGGTAGACTCTTCCAAATCCTCCTTCTCCAATAACAGATTTGAAGTTATTGGTGATATTCACAATCTCAGAGTATGTAAATCTCCAATTCTTTGCTTTCAGTGACCATTCTCTTCTCGTCCCTACAATAAAGATCATCATAAAGGAAACATACACAATTCATTGAGAAGGGTTGAGATTTTCGTGAGGATGTAGAATCTATTTTCCAAGATGCAACTTTTTGCCTGCAAGATTCGTTCCTTTGAAAGTGCAGATTGCAAAGACAAATTAGCAAATTTTCAACTAAACATGCATTTTGCAGTTCTATTCTTTCTCATAATCTTTAAGAACAAGAAAATAAGCACCGGGACCTCAAAGAAATGTTGATATCATGAGAAATGCATCAAGAAAATACCTTTTCTTTTCTTTTCACGGATACGATAGATTGCTAGAGCACATAGTATTATGAAGACCACAACTGATACAGTTGGTGCAACAATGGCAACAACCTTCCTGTTTTTTACTTTGCATGAACCCCCCAAACAAAGATCTGGATTTCCATCCAAACTAGCATGAAGCAGAAAATAGTAACTTTTCAAAGCATATTGTTAGGTCACAAGATATAACTGCATTGAATGTTTCTAAGGAAGGCATACTTTAATGTTAACCCTCCGCTATTGTGCTTTTCCATAAGAGCCTTGGGAACTGCATCTTCAAGCTGGTTCCCCATTAAATTGCTGCAAGATGGCATAAAAAGTCATTAGAATCTTCAACCAAAAGGCTCACAATATTGCAGCTGAAAACTTACAGGACTCTCAATTATGGCAGTTGAGCTAGAAATTCTGGAATTGGACCTGTCAATTGATTGTGTGATAGATCCCTGAAACAAACGACAACATTGTGGAAATAGGATCAGTAATTTTTGTAAAAGAACTTAAAATAAGTATGCCGAAAACTGAGGAGCACCCCAAGTGGCTAATACAAAGAAACAAAAATATGTGTGAGGAGACTTATAATTCTTAAAGAAAATAAGACTTCGTTAAATTAATTTGTATAGTAGTTTAGGCAGAGGCAATTCATTATTCAAGTCTCAAAGCTTTTTTATTGCCCTGCACTATTTTAAAAACAGAAAAAATGTGTTATACTTACAAAGATTCTATCGTTCTGAGGTTAGAGAATGAAACAGCTATATTTCCTGTCAATTCTCTTGAACTAAGGTTCCTGCTTATATAGTTACCCAAGTTAGAGTTATATAGTTTAAAAACTACATATTTCCACTTTCAAACAACATATTAGAAAAGACCAAAAAAAAAAAAAAATTACATATTCTAACGTATTTTGGGAATTTTAAGGAGAACACTCACAAAGAAATGATAGTTGGAGGACTGATGGAGCTGCAATTCAAAATGTTCCATGAAGAAGGAAAACATGGATCGCCCTGCCACTCTCCAATTATGCTGTATGTGTTTATAATGTTTATGATAGCATCCACTGTGATCTCGTTCAAAAGTCAAAGGAGACCAAGAGATGGACATCAGGATGCAAAATGGAGAAATTAAGGGTAACACTTATGTTGGATAAGGCTGAAAAATTATCAAAATCTGACATTTCTTCGCCATATATAACAAACAAGAACAAAAAGCAGTAAGTAACCAGCACAGTGAAGAAGAAAACTAGACTGTTAAATGTACCGTCTTTCTCGATTGTTGGCATGCGATAAAAGTCTTTGTGCTGGTAAATTTCATAGGCGTTAAGGATCGGAGGAAGGCCACTGTCCACACTAGAAATAGAGAAGTTATATGTTGTCTCCCCAGTAAGAGCAAAACTGGCAACAGTTTGTGTCTTTAGATAGTCCAGAGTAAGAGTTTCCAAGTTATAAAAATCATTGAAACGGATATTGAGTGTTCTTTGTTTCCCACCCTCAAGCTTTTCTATTTCAGCAAAATGAAAGTAAACATAAAATTTTGAAATTGTGAACTTGGATTGCCATGAGACGTATATGGGGCCACTGACACACTTGACAGCAGTTCCTAACACTTTGTCTGGTATTTTGTAGCCATTGTTGCTGGTCTCAATTGTCAAGTTGGGTGCCAATGTCACTGGGATCCATTCATTTTTCTGATCATGATTCCATTTGCGATCATATATATCGTCGGGGTACCTGATAAAGAAATAAGATCCTCTACTTATACCATGTTACCAAGTACACATTTATAAAAACTGTAACACACTATTTGCTTACTCGAAAACCGAATTACATAAATGTTTCCAGGGCTATAACTAGCTAGCTCACCTGATTATCTTATTCGAGCCACCAAGGTTGATTCGCGAAGTCAAGGCCAGTGCTCCATTACCTGATTGGTAGAGGGAGTTGTCCAATTGCCTAACTTCCAGTGCAGAAATATATGGTGTTCCATTGTTTTTGTTCACAAGACACACTTGTATGGCATCTGTCAAGGGAGCATATATGATATCATGTACAACATATGAGTCTTTCACCGTTGTCCATGAATTAACCCCAAGATACAATTGGAACACTGGAGGTTTGATTTTTGCCATCATAGTTTCCATACATGAACACAGCTCTGATGAGATAGTTGTTTGATCTGCCTTGCTCAGGCTTCAAGGTGTAGCAATTCTGTTCTCCTTCTGGGAAATATCTCAAGGTCCTCAGCTCCATGTTAAGGCTTGAGTTGATGAACTCTGAGGATATCTGTGAATTCACTCCAGCACTTATAAACCCTGTATCTGTCTGGTAAAACATGTTGGAGTCATCATAGTTCTGCAGAGTTGCGCCACAGTCGACGCTTATGAAACCTTGAAATTGTTGTACAAAGGTTGTTAAAAATACCAGTTAATATGAAACAGATACAAACAAAGACGCATAAATTACTGGTAAACAATCCTTTAGGCTTGTGAATAGTTTAGTCATATGTGTACCAGGAATAGTAGAAGCAAGCTTTCTTTTTTGGTCATGGTGACTAAGACCCCTCCCAGAAGGGGTGATAGGAGGAATGTTGAAGGCCAGCCACAACCAAAACACCATAACCAATGCAGCCATGTCCACCTTCTTACCTGAATATGGACTGAACCAGTCTATAACTCTCACTGCAGTTAAAGTTGTACATATATTTTGATTTGTCAGTGTCTTTATACTAGAAATTGAATGCAATATTTGGCTTTTCCATTTTGTTTACTTTTTTTGGTCAGCTCTCAAATTTCTTTTCTTACAAGGTAAGCTGCAATCTTTCACTGCTAATAACAATTTTTTTAATTATTATTTTGACCAAAAAAAACAAAACTTTTTATTTTATTGTAGGGGAAATTCTGATCAATTAAACCAAATGGAAAACCTTTTGACTCAGTCCTGTGATGTACAAAGAAAATTGAAAAAAGCTTAATTAATCCTTAATAGAGAAAAGCAATATGTTAGAATTGTTCAATCCATCCTATTAACAGTGCATCTCACATAATTGTTCATTAGGCTAGTAATTTTTAAAACTTCTCTTTTAGCCTCTTTCACTACATTTGTGATATAAGTGCATTTACAAATTTTAAAATACTCAACAGTTTTGCTTTTTAAATAACTTATAACCATTAGGTGGGTGGGGAGTGTGGCACTCTTTTTCTTCGACTAGATTTCCCCCTTTGGGGGTTTTTATGACAAGGTTTTATTGATGCCACTCTTAGGGCTCCCCTGGTCTCTTTTTAGTTAAGACAATTGTAATCGTTATTGGTGTTTGTAATCTTTGTTCTGAAGTTTCAATGAATTTCTCTCTTAACTTAAAACTATTTATGGAGAAACTTTTAAGTGCGACCGTAACACCACCTAAAAAAGTCGACTGTAGATTTACAACGATGACATCATAGACATTAAAAACAACTTAAAATCTTACATGGAGAGACAAGGCAATGGAAATGGTCCATGTATTTACCGTGCGTAGTGTGACTCTGTCGTACCTAGAGAAGCACATGATACATAATCCTTACTCAGGTGAAAGCTACGCAACTCTTTTTCTTTTGAGTCCAAGATTTGACTGGACAAGTAACAGTCACAAAAATGTTCACTTTCAATCAACGTAAGGTAGTTTGTAAATTATATTTCAGACGAGGCTCGCCAAATGAACCTTTCTTGAATGAACCCTACCCTAAAATCAGCCCCAAAATAGTTTTCACTTTCAATCAACGTAAGTCTTTAATTTTTATTTTTGTTTGGGGTCCAATTGTTGGACTTTATCAAAGTCTTCTTGGATTTCCTTTTCTTTTTGTCCTTTTTTTTTTCTCGTGTGGCTCCATCAAGAAGTTAATTGTGGGATAAAACTCCAATAGCAAGAACATGATACAAGCCGATCAACTAGATTGAGCTTTTGTTTACTAAAACACTACAGTCAGCACTAGGCCCCAATGCGCACAAAACTATTGGCATGCTGAAGATACAAACCCAAATAAATAAATAAAAGAGGGAAAAAAAATTTACAATGTAGGAAAAAAGCTGCTACAAGTTAAGTCACCAGAAGTTCATCCAACAGAACATTGGAAGAGTAATGTAAATGTTTAGTGCCCTTAAGTTTGGTACTCTGAAGGTATTGTTGGCGGGCAGTACTTCTTCGCGACATGTTTATACTGAGGCAGAATTCAACAAAAACAAGTGTCACTTTTAGGCTACTCATACCTTTGTGCACAAGTTGACATGATGTGTGGGAAAGAAAACTTTGTGAAATTTTTCTTACCTTATGCTGACTGTATTTCTCCCTGATAGCAGGTAAACTAGAACTCTGGCTGTTACAACATAGGCGATGGAGCTCCTTGACACAGTCACGCAAATCCGACGGCTGATAAAGCGTGTAATGCTGCAATGTGGCATTCTGGTTCCGAAACCAACAGATAAAAACAGAAAAGAATGGATAAGTAAGCCAGCCTGTATAACAAGGAAGTGTTATCACAAGTGTGATTGTGATTTGTAGGACACATACCCATGGTCTCTTTGAAGGAAGAAGTATAAAATTGGCCAGGAAAATTGCAGAAGCAGCTACAAGTGATGGAGCATAACAAAGCATGCTGTACTCTAGAAGAGATAATTCTGCAAGGTAGTTTGCTAAGCACTCCAAATGCATTGATATACCCTGGTATGGAAAACAAAATCACCACAAAGAACAAAGTTATTTTCAGGGTGGAGATTGTGACACTGAATTATTTCTGGCTGTTTAACTAGGACACCATTCACTATCAGTATATAATTATGAACATCAGGGGAAGTTCTTTTTTTTTATACATCTTCTGTTTTTGTACATCTTTTTTATACACAAATTTATTTGGTCAGAACCTCTATTTATTTATGTTCAGGGCAGTATTTAATCAGTCATGCAATCAGTCATGCGTACAACAAGGAACATAAGTAAAACCAACGGACTGGGCATTGAAAAGTTCCAAAAAGATACCTCATTGGCCCCTTGAGCAGCACGCACGAATCGCCTACAGTTCAGATCAATGTATCATAGGTTAACACCAGTTGAATATGTGTAAAGCAAAAGTTGATAAATATAAGCTAGTCAATACCTTAAAAAGCATTTAGTTGTGGGGGCTGTCATTTCAAACTTCAAGTAATTCAATACATCAGATTCCATTTGCAACACCTGCAGCATTTAAAAGTTTAAGTTAATGCGGCTTAGAAAGAAACGAGTAACTTGAGGAAAAATCTAAAATCCACAGTTCAGCCAAAGTAGGGTAAAACCAACCTCTTCCTTGAAATATGTGTTATCAGTAATGTAACAAAACTCTTCCACCTGGGGTGCACATATCTCCTCATATTTTCTGGAAATATAAACCATTTTTCTTGTCAATAATACACTCAGTGAACAAGAGAACAGAAAGGGAGAATAACATAAAACAAATCATACGTAAGTTAACACTCTAGAGATGGGGCCATAAAAGCTTACGAAGCAATCATCATGCAGGCAACACCAAGTAACTGTAATCGTTGTCTATTCATCGGATTCCCTGAAAGATATCGGTCTATGTAGTTCACAGTCAAATATAATGTATCAGGTACAAGCCTGTATTCTTCAGCCACCTGCAGTTGGAATTGAATTTCAGCCTTCACATGATTACAAGCAAACCCTTGGAAAATTTACAGAAACGATACAATGGAAATCATCTCATGCCATCCAGAAACATCATTTACCTCCACAAGCCAATCAATTAGTATTGCCCGCATGCTGGGATTTATATCTTTCTGAGTTTTCTCCATGAAATCTGTGGAAGGCCTCTTCTTTACCTGAAATTTATGGTGATTGAGCAAATATCAAACAAGGATAAAGCAAAATGAATATAGCTTTACAGTGTCAACTAGAACTGAATTTTGACCTGTATCAAGTAGTTTTTTAAAACACATTGTTCTCAGTTTGAATATGCTAGATAGTGTAGATATATAGAACAGATATCAATTTGAATATACTTGGAAGAGATGTCAAACCTCAGATGCACGCAAGTGCTTGTAAATATCACAGGCAATGGTTGCACAAAGCTGAGGATCCATTAAACTGTTATCCAAATCAGCAATTTTTTCCTCTGCTTCCAACTCCACAAGTACTTCTCGTTTGCAGGCAATCCCTGCAAGAAAATCAGCAAAAACTATATTGGGAAATGAAGAAAAAATGATCTATTGTAGTTCAAAGCCATGGAAATCAAGTGGCACGGCCACGGGAAAGTAAAAAATTGCTACAATATGCAACCTGTTGTTTCCGCATGGTCTGAAATGTAGAGATTGCTAAATGTCTTCCGGTTAATAGAATCAATTGCTGGAACATCATTGTTGTCTATGTATTCAACTTCCGGACTCTTAAAAGAATCACAACTTGACATTGTCTCATCCATAGAAACTGAGTTTCCATCGGATTTACTTGGAGAAACATCCATGCTGCATGGTCCAGGTAAGGCAAAAGAGCTAGGGACTGCTTCGTCGCTTCTTGGGGCGGGTGTAACCTTTGGAAGAAGAACTGCACTTGGTTTAACATTGAAGGATGCAGGTAGGCTACTCGCTGAGATGCCTTTGTTACCAGTGCAAGCAGGAGGTCCCTTTTTCACTTTGGCAATCTTATTTGTGCAGGGTACCTATCAGATATAAAATTCAGCTTATTAGAATCTGATACCATGAACAATTTCTCCTCATATGCAAACACAAGGTGTCTAATACAGAGTAAAATTTCAAATTGGGACAGAAAGCAGCAGACATGAATACTTCTGATTCCTATCATTGACAAGCAGACATCCAGAACTTAGAATAGGATGATTAAAAAACCAAATGACCAGTAGATAGTTTCTTCTATTGCGTCATAATACAATCAATGCTTCATGTCCAACTCATATTATATGCTACAATTAATCAACCCAGTTTACCTCTAATTTCTTACTACACTAAAATAAAACTTTAATATCATTTTCTTGCATTGTCTAACAATTTTTTTTTTTCAGAAAAGATCAGAAAATCGGTGAAAAGGGAAACATATATTTTACCACACCAAATTTGAATTACCCAGAAGTCAAAAAAACCAACAGAAGTAACACTACTGAAAGACAGACTAGGCATAGCAATCAAACAAAGAGAAGCAAAGTTTCAAATTTTCTGATCTTTCCAGCGTTTTCTCATAAACCAAACACGACAAATACAAAACCAATTTTCACTTACCAGAGTGCATGATGACCCCCCTGAGCTCCGTAAACCGTTGTTAGACACACTGTTTCGATTCGTCAGGTTACTGAGAGGCGCTCGCTTCTTGGCCAAGTGCGGCTCAGCTGCCACAACCTTCCCAGCATTCCCTGATGCCGAAGAAGACGAAGACGACAAAGCCTGTCGTTTTGCCAGAGACGACGGAAATGCTGAACGGCGGTTCTGGGTCGACATTTCGGATCAAACCCAATTCAAATTCTGGTCCTGTTTTAACCTTCTTGGCTCAGACCCAAGAAAGCAAAGCTCAAACCCAAGAAAAAAGAGTCGTTCTTGGAGAGAAAGAGAGAGAGTGAAAGAAAGAGACTTTGAAGTGACTGTGTCTCTGGTTTTCAGCA